TTTCGTGATCACCACTATCATTGAAAAATTGGCAGATATTGTCCGGCATTAGGCTCAAATTAAGTGAATTGCAGCTTGCAAGTTCTGTCCAGGGATCGTGATGATGCAAGGGTTCCTGTTCTGCAACCAATAGATTCCTTGTCTCTATTGCATACAGGCTGTCTGTTCCCCGGGGACTTGCGCCAAGGTCCTCAGAAGCCTACGCAGCCTTCTGTACTGGCTTGCAGCAAGCAGCTGAGACCCGCCCCTGAGACACTGTCTCATACCGTCTCGGCGCATCAGGAACTGGCCGAGTGGCTAATGCTGCAAACCCCAGCCTAAGCAGTGCTGCCACGCGAACTAGGCAGTAGTGACGTAGTGGTCTGGCGTGTCAAGCTCCCAGTGCTTTGGGATGCTGACATTCAGAGATTACCTGGTCTTATAAAGATCTGTTGGCATCAAAATCGTGCTTGGGGCTGCGGCTCAGGGTTGCGACGCTATGCGACGCTGCTTCAAAGGTGGCAGTGGCAACGTTGGATGCAACTTGGGCCATGACTGTCACAACGATCAGTGAAGTAGCACAGCTTTGAAGCTAAGATACGAAGAGTAGTGTAGAAAAGACTAACATTGAATGGCCCGAGAAAGCTTTAAAGCAGCGCATTTGACAACGGCTCGTGCCTGCCGCAAAACTTCCGGATGCGGAGAGATGCACTTGGAGGATTTGGCAGTAAAGGCATATGGCATGGAGTGGACTCTCTACACGCAGTCTGCATTGCAGTCTGCATATGTCTGCACTCTTGTTTCCCAAATCCGCCACTTGGAGCACGCTCACAAGGAGAGCTCCGAGTCACTGTCGGTGTCGCTGGTCTCGCTGAGGTCCTCGCACAGCATCCCACCGACAAGTGCGTCGGAGATTCTACACTGCTGGAGGCCTTCCAAATTCCAAGAACGTTCTCAGGTCACAAAATTGTTGTTCGGGACCAATTTAGCATTGGGGTGCCCTTCAACGCGTTTGCGCACGAGCCTCTCATGTCAAAAGAGTTCCTTTGAGCAAACACCCCTGAACAACTGCAGCAAACGAAGCGCGACCCTGCCGCAAAGTCTTCGCTCAGAAACAAAGCGTACGAACAAGAAGCCTGGCAAACCATTTAAGAGACCCTCGCAAAGCAGAGGTTCTGTGGCCTTGTGACCGCAGCAACAAACCCCTGCCAGACCCACACCCAGCTGACTCCAGCCTTTCATGGGCACATCACAATCCTGTGACAAGAGCAAAATTTCAAGATTCAAAAAGAATTGCAATCAATTTGCTAGCAATGAGATTTTGAGTGCTAGCAAAGGGAGCGGTCCTCATTGACGGCCTGGCTGAGCAGGGCTGGAGGAAGCTTTGTCGTCTGATTCATACCCTGTTCACACCCTGCAAACTTTAGCCTAGACGGCAAGTTCCAGGCGTGCTGGTAGTGGTGCTCATCATCATCGTCGTAGTAATCGTGGGAGTATAGCAGTCATGCTTTAATTATACTAGTACTGGTGGTGGTAGTAGTAGTAGTAGTAGCAGCAGCAGCAGCAGTAGCAGCAGTAGCAGCAGTAGCAGCAGTAGTAGTAACAGTACTAGTGGAGTAGTAGCAGTAGTTGCTATTGTAATACTGTGCAATGGGCAGGTTTGCCGGAAAATGGGGTTACCTAGCAAATGAAGGTGCTGGGGACAGTACTTTAGAAGTTCTGGACATGTTGGATGTTTTGGAGTTTCCGGACAAGTTTCAAAGTTCGTCCCCGGTTTGTCACCCCTCTAGTAGGCGGTGGAAACCAATGGCAGGAACGGAACTTTATTTTGCGCTTTGGACAAAATGGAAGAGAACGACTTTCCGGGTACAAATTCCTAAGTTCCCATCCCTCTAGCCCGCAGTGGAAACCGAATTGACTGAAAGCTCAGAGTAAATGACCTTCTGCACAGGACTAGTGGTACGCAACACCCCAAACCCTGAACACCCTGAACCATCAAACCCACTAAATCCAAAAAAAGTACCCCTTAAAACCCTAAACCCTGTACACCCAGTACCTAAACGCTACAATCATCTAAAATCCATAAAACACCTAAACCCTGAACTCCCTAAACCTTTACCACACTAAATCCTGAACTTCCTAAGCCATAAGAACACTAAACCCGGAAACAAAAAAGAGGCAAAACCAGCAGATGCTTGCATGTAAAGATCTGGGCAAACCGCCGGTTCTGGCGGAGTAATATCAATCAGTCGTAGTCATCGATGTGGCAGTAGTGGATAAGTAGGAGTACGACAGAGTTGGGGGGAGGTGGAAGAAGAGGAGGGCAAGGAGGGAGGAGGACGAGAATCTCTCATTTGCGACCCAATTTCTCGTTCGTGCTATTTGCTTTTTTCGAAGGATCCCTGTCACCGGCCGCCTGTCAAGGGCGGCAAAAAAACAGAAAGTAAATAATTACACGGCTGACTGCAAAGAGGGTCAAGTCAACAACAGGCTCCAAGATCTGTATGGTGTTTTTGCTTCTACTGCGTTGTTACGACCGCAGGAGGCAACCCTATTATCACTATCGTGGCTGTTCCGAGGTGTAGCATCCTTTGCGATCGTTAAGTTCCGAAACCGAAAACCTAATGAATCCTCTCACTCGAACTCCTCACCGGCAAAAGATATAATAAAGCAGCTTCCATTTTCTTATCCATTTCCGATGTATGGATATCCCCCGACTTTCGGGGCGCGTTGGATGGTTCAGGAGACGGAGATGGTCAAAAAAGCCGTACAGCCCAAAAAGGGGGGGGTGAAGGGGGGAGGACCCTGGGTCCCGGGGCCAGGTCTGGGTCATGGACAGCTCCAGGCGAGGTACTTACAAGTGCAATACCTTAACAGCAACAGCACACACACCAAACACCAGGCTCCCAAGGTTAGTCCTGGCAGCCTGGTGGAGAAGTTAGCGCCGATTGTTCTCAAGCCCAGCCCCTGAAAACGTAGGCGACCGGGCAATATTTCGACATCACCTTCATTTGATCGCGGTGCCCTTGATGCAACATCGGCTGGGCTGGCGTGAAACTGCTTCCCGCCTGCCTTAGATGACTTCTGCTTGGCGACTTGAGCCGCTTTCAAAATGTAACATATCCCTATGTAAGCGTAAATCCCCCTATACCCGCATGAGTGGTCACGGCCTGTAGGCCCTCGGCTTGCCTCCGCTCGAGCAGAGCCCTTGCCTGGCCAAATTGATGCTTGGCTTTCATCCCTGCATCTTCTCAAAGAGAGACTGGGGGAGCGGACCTGCACAATGATCCTATGTAATCCCTATATATACCCGTAGTGATCCCGATACGCATTCATCTTGCTAAATGCTTCATAGCCACATTCTGCGGCACCCCTGGCGAAATTCGAAGATACACCCAGTCGAAGATCGTGCTTTTTGATATTTGATGATAGAAATTTCGCTGGCTGTGGTTGACACGACCACAATCGAAGCAGCGCGTTCAAGTAGAGTATTGGTTATATTGGGGTTATATTGGGGGATAATGGAAAATGAAACGGAAACTACTATAGTATATTGGGGTTATATAGGGATTGGTTTAACCCTAAAGGGTGTGCAGTGCCTCCTTTGGAGTGAAGCCAGCTTTTACATGCCGCCACTTGGGCCTCTACGGGCACCCCGAGCCCAAGTGGCCTGACTTGAACTACAAGGTCATACGAGATATGCAATATAAAATAATAGACTAGACGAGAATAGATAGGGATGTATATACAGTATACATATAACTATATGTATATGTATACGTATGTCTCATACATCAAAATATAACCTACAGGGGACGAACTTGCATCAGGGAAGCATTTTGAGAAATTTGTGGATGTCGATTCCATATCTTTGCCATAACACTTATCTGGCAAATAGCTTGAAAGTGGGGAGCCTCTCCAAACAGAAATGTCGAGCCCAGCCCCGAAATTCATGACAAGACAAGATACACCAATGAGTTTTGTCACTCCTTTCACTTTTAATCTTGCTGTCACCGCTCCTACAGGTACTACTACACAAGCATGGCATAAGCTAAAGGCATTGTTGACAAGTCGAGGCAAGTTTAGGTTACAGGTTTTTTTTTCATCGGTCCTTTTCTCCTTGGCCTACAGGTTAATGTGGAGCCAGGGTTTGCTTCAACTTGGCCAGTGGTGCTGCCAGCAAATCCATGGGAAAGTGTTGGTACCTCAGCCACTGCAGGTCTCTCCTGGTACACGTGACGCAATTCTTATGACTGTTGGCGCTCTTGCCCTTGTAGTACTAACCATATCATGGCCGTTCCAACTACTAGCACAACAAGTTCTGCACTCCAAATGCCTTGCAGCGAAAACCATCAGATATTGGGGCCCCCGCGCTGGCACGATCGAATAGTCTCTGTCGAACACAAAATCTCGCGGGTGAATTCCTGCCAACAGAACATGGGGCTTTTAGGCAACCTCGGTCCGGAGGAAATGAAAGGGGCTGAAAAAAACGTGAAGATCAGCATGATCAACCTTAAAAGAAAGCTCTGAGGAAAGGAGCTGAACGCGAAGCTGCAGCTGAATCTCTCCGGGAGAAAGCCCGGATAGCTACACCACCTTCAAAGTCCATATTCCTCACCGTATCTACGGAAGCTCGGGCCCGGGTGTCGATCCAAAGTTTCAGATTTCTCCTTTCATTAAAAAAGCCCCTGGCTTCAATTCTAGGCATCTCAGCTTTGAGTTCTGAGGATCGTGCCGTAAATCTCCGAATAAGGGGTAACCTCGTGGACTTCGCACCTTGGCGGAGTCGAAGAGCCACAGAGGGCTGAGTTTAGAGGCCATGGAAAGTGTTTGGACCAACGAGGAGGGCCCTAATGTTCTAAAACACACACGCAATGCAGAGTCACTGCTTGCATTCTTATAACAACGTCTGGTCTCCTGCACTGTCGACTGCCCGAAGTAAAGCTGTGATGGCGATCACGCTTTGCAGCTGACTTTCGATTGCAACGGCTGTTGAAGCCTCTAGCGCTGCCACATTGCCGCTAGATGCCTATGTTGTGAGAATGGTCTTCATTGCCACCAAGACCACCCTCCTCATCATCCTCGGCGTCATCATCATCATCATCATCATCATGGTCATCGTCATCGTCATCAACGCCAAGTGTAGCTGCAGTCGTCATCATGATGATGATATGTCCTGCGGGTATCGTGTGGCTGAGGCCGTGGCGGATTCGTATCAAACTCCACACGACGCTCCCCGGCCCTGTTTCTGCCGGGAAGCCTTGAAGAAATCAAATTGGCGAAAGGATTGCAAGAAGCTTTGAGATTCCGGGGCTTCAAGATTTTGGAGTTTGTGGATGGCTCCAAGGGCCCCGCGCTGCTGTGGCCAAAGGATCTTCCTGCAGGGAATGGCGAATGCCCGACCAGACCGTAACCAGCAAGATTCCGAAGACCCTGAGTCAAAAATTCGGGGAGTACGTGCAAGCGCCCTGGATGGTACAAACATGAACCAAAGCCAACCACAGGTAGGAAACCCCAATACTACGGAGCTTCAAGATAGCGAGAAGAAAGTAAAACGCAAACAAAACAAACGTGCGAAGTCCTCGCAGCTCGGCGCCCTGCTCAACTCTGAGCCTCAGAGTGCAAAGGTCGCAGCAACAGAAGAAAAATGACAATCACAACAACACCAAACATGGAACAGCAACAGTTGCAGAGCCAGCTGCAATTCTAGTTATAGTTGATCTTGACATACGTTGCTGTGGTTGATGTGGGGTGCACGTATGCTACGCCGCCACCACCACCACCACCACCACCACCACCACCACCACCGGCGCCGCTGCCAACACCAGCATCATCATCATCAACATCATCATCGTCACCATGGTTATCACTGTCACCACCAGTACCAGCTCCAACACGCCGCCACCACCCTACCTCTGCCCCTCCGACCACCATGAACAGCAATCAATGCTGTAAGGCCGTCATGAAAAGTTGAATGGAGTAATCACACGTGCATGTATCAGTGTATCATTTGCTAAGGTGGATTAAGGCCGTGGCCATTTGAAGGAGATCCGGCTTGCGTCGAGCTTTCCTGAGAAAGTGGGAGAAACGGCACAAAGTACCCCTTCAGCATGGGATCTGATATAGAATGTGATTGAAAACAGGGATCCCTCAACTGAAAAAGCCCATATAAGTTGGTTGGAAGACTTGCACCCGCGGCCTCTCGCTCATCTCCTTCTGTCTTGACACCACCGCAGAAACCTGCGAGTCAATATCTGGCCATGCTTGAATGTATATATCCTTAGATGATCCTCGTCACATGTGCTGGGGCATCCGAACCTGTAAAACTCGGACGCTGCTGTCTCGTGTACCCACCAACCCGCATCTGGTTGCTGAGCAGTACCCTGCCCTCTGACTGAAAATCTGAACAAACACCGTCAAAGCAAGCAAAAGCACATGCAATGGCGTTTTCCAAGAACTATGCTCAAGAGGGCCCGTCTGAGCCCGATGCCGCGAAGGTCACTCATGCACAGCTGGCATTGCGAAAGGCTTTAGGGGGAAGCTAACACATACGAATCTTTCACACTGATATTATTCTCTTTTCGCAATGCCTGCTCTGTAAGCACCACAATGGGCCGGCTTAGCCAGTCTCTGAATGTGGATCTGAGCTCCTTGCTGACCTTCGTTAGGCCGTCAGCATATTGCAGGTGAGTCGGCACCCAATGCAGATTGGAAGCTGGCACTACTTCCTGAATTGCTCTGATATTCACAAGGGACCGTTTATCGGCCAAGTTGGGGTTCTCTTGAACTGCACAGTCGTACAGAGATTTTGCATCAACCACATGTAGGTGTCGGAGTCGTGGACCTACTCGGTGTGCTGGAACGTTGAAGACGATCTCCGAGATGAACATGTTCAAGAAGCTTCCTCTGTCACAGCTCTCATCCGCTGCGGATGCCTCCGCCGCCAGCGTGCGTCTGCAGACACGTTGTGATCGGCCCGACTTCCAGTCTAGGATGCCGGCTGGCACGGTCTTGTGCAGGACGTCAGGGCTTGAGAGAAGTGTAAGCGTTCCAAACTGGGATCTGCAATCTGAGGCATTTGCCCAGGAACTGTCCGAGAATCCAATGATGACGCTGTTCTCATCAAAAGCCACGTCTCTCATGACAATGCCTTCGCTCCGGGTCTCCTTGAGGAAGGACACGGTCTCAAAGAGGCAGGACAAGTCATCGACAGTAGTCTCCATGCCCTTGTTCGAGAGCGAGACGGCTGGAGCTATCTCAGGTCGAGACTGACCTGCCAGCCACTGTAAGCTTCCAGAGACACTTCTGAACTCAGCACGCTCGGTCGGACAGCTTCTTGTCCTTGGTGAGTCGCCCTCGTGGAAGCGAGGAGCTTTCAAGAGTGTCGATGAAGTCGGACTGCTCGATCTTCAGCTCGAACCGTCCTTTCGGCAGAGGGGTGAAGGTCAGCTGCTTGCCCTTGAACGTGTAGGTCTTGCCGGGTTCCATGAACTCGAAGCTTCCCCACGTGAAGGCGTCTTTGACCTCTTGGACGTTGTAGTCGTCGCGAAACGATCCAATGAAGTCGTCCACGTAGACGAGGATGTAGCTCACCACCTCGTGGTTGGAGTCCCTCTTAATGAACAGCATTCGGTCAAAACAATGCTGCTCATATCCTAGAGACTTCAAGCGCTTGATGACTTCTGCGGTCCAAAGCCGCGGTGCGTTGGAAAGTCCGTAGACGTTGGATCGAATCCGGTAGAGGCCAGCTGCCCACTCAGAAGTACGTGCTATGATGCCGTCACGGGGTGGTAGCATGTACAGAGGAAGTGGACGTTCGCCTTCCGGTTGCTGTCCCTGAAGGAAAGCGGTGCTAGCATCAGCCAGCCAAGAGGTCCAAGTGTGGCTTGTCCCAAGCAGCTCTTTGTTCAAGCCCGCCACCATCATGGCGAACACCACATGCTCAGCCATTCTCGTAGGAGTGGGGCTTTCCCTCGTTAAAGACCGAAGATCTGGATCTTGGTGGCCTAGGCAGACCACACGGCACTTCGCCCTCAAAGGCCCTTGTCCGCGAGCTGTGCCTCTGTAGACCGCCCGAGATTTTAAGATGCGACGCCGAAGTTGAGGCGAGGACATCACCTTGGCGATCTCTGAGGCGCTGAGTGGTTCGATTGATTCCCAGTGGAGCAAAGACCTCGCCTCCTTGACCGCGGAGTCAACAAAGGCCTGGAGCTTTTCCTTCGGAAGATGCAAGAGTTGTCGCCAAGGAACTTCTCGATCCAATTGCTTCAATTCTTTGCGGGTCAGGGAACGCTCCGTTTTGATTGGCGGTACCGGATCATCTGCGTCGGTGTCTGACGTGTCGTAGTCAGCAGCCTCCTTGCCGGTGGCCTCGACGTCGCTCTTCCGCACGCCGCTGTTCAGGTAGCTCTGGTAGAAGCTATTGTTTCCACCCTCCACGTGGTCGAGCTCGTCAGGTCTGACTCGTCGTTGAGGAGGTGCTTGTGGCAGAGCTGGTTGTTCAGGTAGTCCCTGCAAGGTGTCCCCAGACGGTTGCGTTGCTTCCTGCGAAGCTTCTGCTGGTTGTCTCTGTGGTTCTGCTTGGCCTGGTAACTCGAGAGTGTCCCCCGACGGTTGCGCTGCTTCCTGAGAAACTTCTGTTGGTTGTACGTCCGGGTAGCTCTCGAAGGGCTCCACGTAGTCGGGTGTTTCCATTGGTGCCGAGTCAAACGCCGCTGAATCATACTGCGCTGACTCGAGGCCTTCGGGGACATCACTTTGTGAGGCCCCAAAAACCGCTTGTGGTGCGTGTGGCGTACTCGGGACTGGAGGTTGTGGAGCTTGTGGTAGAGGACGTAGGCGAGGTTGGTGAGGTAGTGCTGGAGACCGTGTTCCGGTACGCCTCGGTGTTGGTGGGTTCCTTGAGCGGCTTCTTCCGCGAGTTGGGTCGCCAAAACGTTGAACCACCACTTGTTGGTTTTGTTGTTGATAGCGAGGACTGTCCACTCTGATGTTCACCGACGTAGCTGGTAGTTGTGGTAGCACTGAAGGTTGCGGTGATGGAGGTATCATGCCGGGAGTCGGTGGCAAACTTGCTATGGCCATCTCGTCATCAAGATCGAGAAGGTTGTTGTCCAAGTCTGCGACTTCACCAGGAGCAGGAGGTCCCGTCTCATCCGCCCAGATTGAATCTCTCAAACTCTGAGATCCATCCTTCAATGCTGCAATGTCCTCGGAACTTGGCTGCCATCGCTCAAAGCCAGAAGCCACTCTGAGCTGTTCAGCGGTGACCAGAACGGTCGTTGTACCAGTTCGCAACCATGCCTGACTCCCAACGTGGGACGGGTCCCAAGCCAGAAATCTGGCCATTGCCCATCCGCCCCTTTTGTGGGGACCCTTGCGTCTCCAGCGCCAGAAGGCGCATGGCTCACCTGGAGAAATGTCGGCGATGCCTGTGGCCCTCGTCTTTCTGAGGAGAGCCCTGCGGATGCCCCTGTCAACCGCGAACTCTGCGATGCGACGAAGAGCTTCAGCACGGATTTGTTCGGACCGAACCGCAGCATCGCCTGGAGAAGAAGCCAATGCCACCGGGTCTGCAAGTATGTCACAACCTGGAACTCGGGGCACTCGGCCAAACACAGCCTGGTAGGCTGAACGACCTTTCGTCATCGAAATGGAATTCAAAGCATGCAATGTTGGAGACAACAAGCCCTCGACGGAGTCGACGTCCGTGGCCGCGTTCGTGTCAATCATCTTCTCCAGCACGGTCCTGAGCACGGCGTTGCGTCGTTCAATCGTTGCAATCGTCCAGTGAGCTTCGGCTGGGCAGAACTCGACTTCAATGCCAAGTGCTTCGAGACCATCTTTGCAATGTCCTTGAAAGAGAGGATCTGGATCGCACCTGATCTTGACAGGAAGCCCATAAGGACGGAGCCAAAGCTTTTCGAACAACTTGAACGCGGATTCGGAGGACTTTTCAGGTAGGCATCCTGCTTGATGCAAGTTCGTGGCGACATCCACCATACCCAGGATGGGGATTGCCATGCCCGATGTCGTGCGCACAAAGACCACGTCGCTCTGGATCTCGTCACAGAACTGTCGAGGTTGTAGTGAAGGTAGTGCAGAGGGACGTGGCTGTTGAGGCATCTTGAGTCGCTCGCACGTAGAACACCGCAGCTTCCGGACCGCATCGATCATGCGCTGGGATGGCGAGCCATGATAGCACATAAGACGGATCAGTTCTTGCGGTGATGGATGTCCAAGGTTCAGGCGTCGTCGAGCCACAGTGCGCTTGACGTCGAGCGTAACGTGAGGACCAAGCCCATCGAACTTGATATCGGTAGGAAAGGAGCTTGGAGGAAGTTCACCTAGTTGTTCCCTTTCAGGCTGAGGCTCGTTGCGAAGGTCGCCGTACACAAAGATGCCGATGACCACAGGTTTGTCGAAGCGCTGCTTGGGGAACTGTATGTTGTCCAAGGCCTCGGTCTCGACGACGATCGAATTGTCGTTGTGGAGGAGCGCGGCGCCGCAAGCGCTGAATGCCACGTCCATGGGAAGCCGACGTTGAACTGGTAGATGCGTTGCCTGAATCTTTACCGGGTTCATTCGTAACAGGTCTGCGATGGAACGTCCGAGCTGACCATCCGGCTCGATGTTGAACGGGCGCTTGGAGGAGGTTTCGCCAAAGCTTCGCTTGACCTGGTCAAAGACGGGCTTCCATTCTTCCGGAGAGGACACGGGGCGCGCGACGACATACGTCTCGAAGTAGCCGAAGCGTTGTGGATCTCGTTGTCGTAGGACCTGATGCAAGGACTTCACGATCTCGTACGCAAGCGCGTCCGGGTAAACCTGGGAAGCCGTGGTGTCCGCACCTTGCAGTGGCTTGCAGTAAAGAAGGTCACGGCTTGACAGTGTACGACCAAGTTGAACCATCATCTCGGGCTCATTGCCAAGGAACCTGAGGGACTTCTTGATGGGACGGCCGTCCGCCGTCTCTGCTGCGTATGCGCCGCTGTGACATGTACTGCTGCAAACTCCTGGAGTGTTGATAACTTCAACTACCTCAGCCTGTTGCCATAGACGGCTCGTGAGGGGGTTCTCGAGGATGAAGAACCTGCCAGAAGCGTGCTGTTCAAGTAGCAGGTCACAAATGAATTTCCTCATAGGAGCATCCTCTTCTCTCATAACCTCTAGCTCGCGCAGGCGATGGGCATAGTTACAGTTCTGGTTGATGAGGGAGTATTTGGTACAAGGGAATCCAACGACCAACAACCACGGCTTGAACGTGCGAACTGCCTTGAGTACCCTGGATTGGTCCCGAGGATCATCCAAGTTCACGCCATAGATGAGGTCAACTGGTTGAAGTGCACGAAGCCCGAACTCGGCGGCAAACTTGGTTGGCTTCGCCTGGCCCGCATATAGTTCAAGAAGGTCCGCCATAGGTGGTGGCCTCGAGGAAGCCGTTGCCAAGTTGGTGTACACCTTGGACTCACTCTCGTATGCCCTCACTGCTTGGTCGATGTTGCCAACTACTCGCCTGCGAACTCCCAGTCGTACGTGCTCTCCAGGTCGTCGTCCTGCGTCATGTCGTACTCCGTGTGCTGGCTCGGCCTCGTTGACGTCGTTCGGCTCGGCGTCGTTCCCGTGGATCGTGTCCCCGAAGAAGGCGTCGGCCGTGTTGATGTCCGTCGTGGAGCCGGAGTCGCCGAAGATGGTGTCGAGTAGGCTCCTGTAGCCGTTGCCGTCGTTGATGAGGTCGCTTTGTGCTTCGGCTGAGCTCCTGGAGGTAACGTCCGGACCATATTGTCCGAGGATGGAGGCGGCACACATGACCGAGAGGAGCGCTGCTCTGCGTGCTCCACCTATAGGCCGCTTTCCGGATGGCATCCCCACTTCCACTTGAGGCCGCACAGCCGGCACTTGCTGAAGCTTCCGTGTGGGTTGCCGTACCGATGCATGTCGTTGTGGGCGCACTCGTCTGGCTCCACCTGAGCTCGCTTGAGCATCGACCAAGCGAACGTTCACCGCCACGAGGAGGTTGGCCATCAGGTTGCGAAGTATGCGCCTTGATCGGCGCACCAGTCTGCGCCAAGCTGTCAGCCATGCCGGAGGGTCGCGGATCATCAAAGGAACGGACCCGAGGCGGGATGTCGAAAGCTTGGGGCTGAAAGATTGCTTCGGGAGGAGGATTGTCCCAATCAGTCATGTCCTGCAAGGATTTCCAGGTCTTGTCATGCTTGGCTGCTGCATCAAAGCTTGCGATATCAACTGCCAGGTGCCCACGAACTGTCTTGATAGGAGCGGTCACTCCAAGCCTAGTAAAGTGTGCTTGCCGTGCAGGAAGGTCAAGAACTAAACCCAAGGAATCCAGCATGACGTTTGATCCTAGTAAGGGGATGTTTGCCTCAACCATGCCGGCACCCAACAAGAACTTGCGTCCAGCAACGATACATGGAATGTATGCCCTGAACAAAGCGGGTGATGGGTCGCCTTTTCCGAACTGGAACAAGTCCTCCATGCCCTTCTTGTGCTTGTGCACGCGCAGGCCAAAACCATCCAAAATCTGTACATGTGACTTGAACCAGTCTGGGCCGCAGCACATTCTCTGACACGCCGTGTCGAGGATCATGTAGCCTGCCAACGGAGTGCTATCCTTGACCTCATCGACCTGGAAGACAGCCATGTTCACGGTGAAGAGGTTGCCGTAGTTGTCGTGGGAGTCTGCGAGGTCAAGGCCGGATGTGTTCACGAAGAAGGCCTCATTCGGCGGAGAAGCTTCTGCAAGGAGGGTTTGATGGTCCTTGCCTCGGTTCTTGCCCCTGCCCTTGCCGTCCGCCTTCGAGCCAGCGCCCTGTGACTGCCCGCCGCTAACTGGACACTGGGGGTCACCTTTCCAGTGCCCTTTCTCCCCGCAAGCCAAGCAATGGGTACTTGCCTTAAGCTCCTGAGGAGATTTCTTGGTCGAGCTGCCGGCGCCACTAGAAAATTTTCGTCCAAGCTTGACAGACTGTAGCCTGCGAGCTGTCACAGTCAACACCTGTGCCAGCTCATCGAGGGCATCGTCTTGTTCATCCTGTCGTCGCCCTCATTGTCGTCGGCAGGGTCTCCCTTCTCGTCCGGGTCGCCGTCTTCGCCCTCCTGGTCGTCATTCTCTTCTGGGATGTTGTCAAGGTGGCCCTCGGTCTGGTCCACGTTGTCGGTGTACCAGACTTTCTTGCCGCCGCCTTTCCAGAAGAGGGGTGGCCATTCTTGCCGCCCACGATCGATGTAGTAGAGGCCGAAGTCGAGGAAGAAGAACCTTTGCTAGCGCCCTTGGGTCTCACTGGCTGGCCGTCGAGTCCCACTACCGGAGGTGGACCTCGAAAATCAGGAAACTGCATGACCATGCTATCCATGATGTCGTCGAATGCCAAGCTGTAGCGGGAGCCGACCAGTATCAGCCTTTGATCCTGTAAGGTTAGGCGGGCACGCTCTAGCAGTCGATTGCCTCTGCTTTCTTCATCGTACATTGCTGTCACCTGGAACCGCCTCCAGGTTCCTTTCCACCCTGCGATAGCGATTCGAGAAGGCCCTCAGAGATTCAGCAGGATATCGAGCCAAGGCCTCGTAGTCCGCTAAGAATCGTCTTTTCTGGTACACCGCCTTCTGCGCCATGGGGGCCTCCAAGGAGCGTACGATGAAGTCCACACCGTCAGCAGCATAAACAGAATCAAGAGGAACGTGTTCCAACTCACTTTCCAGCTCTCCAGTAAGGGAGTTGTACAGAAGCAACGCTGCCTCCTTCTTCTGCATGAACGGTGCTATCTGAAGTTCCCAGATGGCAATCTTTCTCTTCCACTTGGCAAAGGCACGCATATCCTCCTTGTCGTACTTCCAGACCGGAGGAGCTGGGGGTGTCCCTCCTCGCCATTTGATCCCCTTTTCGGGTCCCATCCGTGAGACCCAAGCCGAGGAGGAACCAGTGGCGGAGGAATCTTTCTTGACCGCCGAGCCAAGTAGAGGAGGATGATCTTGTACTCCGTCTTGTTGACCTGACAGCGCCGGATCTCGTAGAGCTCGCTGTTGTCCTTGAGGAGGATCAGGCAGAAGTCGCCGAGGAGCGCCGCGCCCGGCCGCCGAAGTCAACGTAGGAGAAGTCTTGGTGGGCCGCAGGTTGCCAAGGTCCGGGTTGACGACGGGGTCGTCTGTGAAGGCTTCGGACTCTGCCTGTTCCTTGCCAGAAGTGCCCTCGTCAAAGGAAGGTGGACCACCGCCTGCTGCACGCCCTTGTCGTCGTGCCCTTCGTTGTCGCCTGCTTAACCCAGAGGAGGTCGAAGAAGATACCGAAGAGCTTTCGCCTTCTGCGTCTGCGGATGGAAGGAAAAGCCATGTTCCCTGGCTTGTCTGCCTCCTATGAGGTCTGTTGGTCTGATAGAAGTCGTTGCCAGAGCACACCATGCATTCCCAAGAGCCATCCGCATTGAACACAGCATTGTCATGATCACACTGAGCGCATCGCCACAGGGAAGGCACCCAGCTTTGATCATTGCCCTGGATCGCCGATGGCCACGTCGAGGTCACCCTTGGCCTTGGAGAGGTCACCGCTTCAGCGGGTCCATTCGGACACGGCATAGGACCGGATCTCGCCGAGGTCGTGGGGATCATCGATGGACCTGAAGGAAGGTTGTCGCGAAGGAAGTCGGTCACATTCTGCATCTTCAGGTCTCGGCCGACCGAAGTGGCCACCGTCTAGGCTCCGGTGCCAACTGAACAAACACCGTCAAAGCAAGCAAAAGCACATGCAATGGCGTTTCCAAGAACTATGCTCAAGAGGGCCCGTCTGAGCCCGATGCCGCGAAGGTCACTCATGCACAGCTGGCATTGCGAAAGGCTTTAGGGGGAAGCTAACACATACGAATCTTTCACAGAAAACATGTGCACAAAGAGGGTCGCACCACTTGGGCTTTCTTGATCCGAGATCGCCGTCCCCTCGCACATCAGCAAGAGGCGCGCCGAACGCCTGGCAACAGTCTACAGAAGGCTGCAATCCAATCTGCGAGCTATATGTCCTATGCCAGTAAGTTCCGCGGAACATAATGCATGTGAAGTACGTTGTCGCCAAAGAAGGGATGTGCTGCAGGTATCTGCGTCAGTCAGGCTCACGGACAGACATGCGCTCCGAGCATTTACGAGCGCAGGTTCAAGTTGCCAGGGCTGCCGGTCAAAAACCTCTTAATGTGTGGAGTACGCTACTGCATCGACAGCCGTCTCAGCTGGTTGTGGCCACAAAACACTAATCTATGGAGACAACCTGGTAGATAGATGCCGATAGCAAGATTATCCTTTCGGTACAAAATCAAGGTTCGTGTTGAGAATCCTAGAACCCCTGCTTCAACTCCTGAGCTGAGGAAGCCACGCGGGGGGACGAGGACTCTCTACTCTGCGACTGGGTTTCTGGGCGCCCTGAGCCGGAGGTTCTGCGCGAAGCCTTCTCAGATCCCGAAGTTCAAGAACTGATGGTTTCGGCACAACAGTTTAGGTTGTGGGTTTAGGGCGGGGAGTTGCAGAATAGGTTGTGCGGGTGTGTTTGCAGCGGGGCTATTGCACGGACCAGCGTTGCCTCCTACCACTGTGATTGCAGCCAGTCCTCTTACAGTAGCTATCGTGGCGCAATGCGCCGGTGATCTCAGGTATCCACTGGCACCTCGCATCTCCTCCTAGGCCTGACAAGCTTCGCGCTGCGTGCTTGAAAGTCAAGTTCTGCAAGATATGAACCAAATCCTGCTTTTCGACAAGACATGTGGGGAAAGCTACTGTCAAGAAAGTTGTAATTCTTGTCTCAGCACCCACCACGAAAGCGGCACTCACGTCTGTACCTGCTTTTGCGACTGCTTCGCCATATCCGCAACATCCGAGGATGCTCAAGAGGGTGAGGAAGCGGTGAAGTGGCGCGTCCCATCTATTCCTAGCTCCACAACACACAGAAACGCTCACGCAAACCTTCACGGTTGGCTTCTCCAATATGCCTGTGGGACCAACGCTCGCGGCTTACAAGCCTGGACACCACCGTCCCCCTTCCCAGTGCTCTTTCAGATCTCTCACGTCTGCATCTGCACGGCCGCCTGCAAAACATATGCAAAGCAGGGAGACCTTGCAATGCACAAGTTCGACTTGATGCAACACAGGATTTCAGACAAATTCTGCTGCCTGCAATGCAAGCTGCCATATTGCTGTGTAAGGACAGCACAAGTTGGGTCGTGCCTCTGACCAGCTGCCCACCACCTCACTCAAACCCTCCAAACCTGAAACTGACCCAGCCCCATCCAGGGTAGGGGCGCCTCGAACTTAGCGCATGCCAGGCGGTGGCGGCCTTGACTTTCGGCAAGACAAGAGCCCTTCTCATCATCTTGAATTCCTTCTCGGGGCTTGCAACAACAAGGATCTGAACCCCAAAGAATGCATATGCACTGTCCTCACTTCCATCCTAGTGATCCCCATGGTAACCTGCATACAAGAAGCTTCGTTCCAACATGATCCCTAAGATCCAGCCATTATTGAGTTTGACCTCAAATCAAGTTGCAGCAAATATTATGAGTCTGAGTACTAACAGAAGCAACGCATCAACATTGAAAAGGTCACTGCACTCCTGGGCTTGTAGGTCATGATAACATGTACTAAGTTCACAGCTTGAGCCCATCCGGATTTTTTGCTCATTCTCCCTCAGCCCGCTAATCTCAGAACCCTCATCTCTAAACCCCGAACCTATAGACCCCCGAACCCAAAGCCCTGCAACCCTTAGTGCGGCCACAATGCATACCCGGAGGCAGCGCCCTGGCGCGCGCTAAGCTCTTAGGGATCTGGGGTTGGGCAATCAAGGTCTGGGCTCGGGGTAAGCGAGCCAACTGGCAGGACCTTACATTAAGCATGATATTGTTATGCAATGTTCCCCGCCGCCCCTACTTTTTGGTGCCCTCTTTGGGATTGAGATCCTGGGCATTTCAGGGCTTAGGAGTTGGGGATTTGTGGTCCAGGGGAAGGTTGACGGAGCTCTGCAGTGAAACCTCTCGGAACGAGTGCACTTCACACAAGGTCTCCCACAAAGTGACAGAAAAACAGGCCTCATCGCAAACTCAGACCCTACACCTGTAGACCCTAACAATCCTAAACACTTCAGCCTATAGCCCCTGCAAGCCCCGTGGTGTTCAACTGCAAGCACGCCCGGAAGGGCCCTCCCGCGCGCGGCGCGCCGCTGCTTCCCGGGCCTTCCTGACACAGGCACAGCCAGAGAACCAACAATCGTCGTGGCAGGGCAGCAGCAGGGGGAGGACGACGAGGAGGCGGGGGAGAACGGTCACAGACTAATGCAATGCCCCCTGCCCCTCTGAAACTTGGGGTTCAGAACGGTCAGCTCGACATGCTCTGGGAGGGTTGGTTAGCATGCATGGCCATGAGTTGAGATTCCAAGATTGATTGGCGCAAGAACTCAGAACTTGCGAGCAGATTGTCAGGAGGTTCAGGTTTTCACAAGCTTGCAGCATGATCTCTCGGAACTCAATACCATTTCGAATTGGGAGCTTTCAGACCTACACCCAACGAAACTCGAACAGACCTGAGGCTGGGCAGACGTGGCGAATCAGACACCAGCCAGAATTCCAGTCTCGGGATTGCTTCAGGTTAGACATCCTGAAAGGAACATCACTTTGGCGCGCGCGCGCACAATTTTCGCTTTACACGCTGAACAAAAGCCGTGAGAATCGTGAGATCAAGTCAAGTTTCCCTTAAGGGCAGACCCTGCCTTGGGCCGGTTTGCTGCAATCAGTCGCTCTGCTGCGGAGCCGTGCCTTCCGAAAGCAGCAGGTTAAGAGCTTAAGATGTTGTTTTGAAGGTTGGGGCTCCCGGCTCGTGCCTTTAAGCTGGTGGGGGGATGTACTTCAGGGATGACCGCTTGCTTGCGACTCACGTGCGAAGCCACGAGTGCAGACAGAAATGGGACAATGTTGATGTTCTGATCCCTTTCCCGACCTTGGTGTAAGGAGCCCGGGCCCAGTCCACGTGGGGATTCAGGCAGGGCCCGCTGTCCAGACACGGCCAAACTAAATGCCAGCATGACGGCCCATTCTGGTTTGACGTTCTTTCGGGAATGGTCTCTCTCCCACTGCTGTACAACCTGCTCTGGGGCCTTTTGCATTTCTAAAACAAGTTTAGGAGCTTGTGAGAAAGATCCAAGAGAATCAATCCTCATCATGTCTTCAGGCCTCACCGTTATTGGGAGTCTTCGCTGCAACCCATCGAATTCAGGGCTGGCACTGCTTGCTGACAAAGGCTTATCTGCACAACGAGGTTCGGCAGGAGGCACAACCCGATTCGTTCATTGCGTACCCTGCATCGCTCATCATTACCAGGTCATGCGCCTAAGTCTGCTGCATTCTGCCACTCATGTCTGTGGAAGCCGGCCCGGCCTCTCTCCCTTGGTCTCTTTCTTGTATGCATAGGACACGCTAATCGGTCGGTTGCACAAGAACTGCCTTGGTTGTAGCGGTCGGAAGCTTCAAGCTTGGCCAGGTTGCAATCTGAACCCCCGGAAGCCCCTCCGCGTGAAGCTCCACAACAGTCCGGGTCTGTTTCAGCTGAGGGGGATGTAGGCATTACGTTGCACGGGCCGCGTACAGGGCACCAACTTGGAATGCAACAGAAAGTTAATCACTCTGATCGTCAAGCTCTTGGCTGATGGCTAGTTCAATGCTAAAGCGCATGCTTGCTTGCAACTTGTTGCGTACGAACAATGAACAATCTACTTGATCAGCTTGAAACGGCACAAGATCCTATCCACACACACCGACATCTAAAGAACAGCAGATCCAACATGTTCAAGACCGTCACAACCCATCCTGCAAGTGGAAGCCGGGATCCCTGCCCGTTCATCCCTGCAAGGGCTGCATCTGATGCCTGGTCTTGCAACAGCTAGAGAGCTTGTCGGATACCATAACTCCTAACCCAAGCTCTTACTCTCACACACGGACACACGTGTCATGACTGCCAGCGCATGGCGTGGTATGAAAATCAGCTTGTTTCTTAGGGCTTCTGCTTCTGCTTCCAATTCTCATGGAACCAAAGTCCCTTTTCTATCCTCAGTCAATCAATCTCCATTACAAGCCCCAACTGCTTCCACAATCTCAAGACACGCCGGTGTGGTTTGCTGATCGAACAAGAGATGTGACAGCCAAACCCAATGAAATGAGGGCACCCCAAAACTGCCATGACTACTATCTGGGATCCGGGGAATCCGCGCTCCCACTGTTTGCGGTTCTGGGTCTAAGGTTCGGATCTGTCAAACTGAAGGGCAGCATCAGCACCGCAAACACTACCCAATAACCCTCACACACAAAGTTGCTACCAGGCCCTGTGGCATAATGGAATTCAGGATCGGGAGCTGCCGACTTCCGCCTTTTCAGAAGCAACAAACCTCTCGCTCAAAGCAGCAGCGCCTCGAAGGTGTCATAGGAAATGAAGCCGAACCCACGCGAGACACCTGGCAAGGCTGCAGGAGTCGACTTTCCGAAGCCGATACAATTCTGTACTTGAAATCTGGGATTGAAATTGTCTGCGGACGAGGTCCTTCTCTCCAGGCCAGATGCTGAGAGCTGTAGACTTTTGATTTCAAAATGGGTCCCAAAATCTGTCACCCAAATCTTTCCCAACAAATGGCAGGATTTCGAATTCGGGATTTCTGAAGCTGGAGCCGGCCGTCTTGGGCCCACAACGAAGATTTGAGTGATAGCCTGCAGTGTTTTGGAATGATGTGGAACGATGTCAACGCCAAGATCCTGATTAGTGTGGGGTCCCTCAACTGCAACGCTTTCCGCGAGTGCTTCTGTGCCTCGGCCTAATAAGTGCGAAGGCTGGATCATAAATTTGGTGGAAGCTGTGATTTATGCAGACGAGCTCCGGTCACTCTCTATCATGGAGCATAGCCATCATCAATGCTCTGCATGATGTGCTGGAAATCTTTAAAAACACCTCAAAATGGTCCATCATACTGCAGGATGTGTCAACGCATGCTATTGCAACTGCGTGTAAGTACACATGTGAGTTGCGCATACATTTTCTGAGAATCTTCCATGTATGCAGGGGGCCCCGCTGTGTTGCTCATCAAGGGGCCCCTTGAGCGCACGAGGCTCGACATCGAATGGTCGGTGGAGAAAAGACATCATCGAGCGCTACTTGCACTGCTGAGCAAGGTGGTTTTCAACAACGAGGTTTGGACAGTGGATTGGCCAAGGCTGCTCCCCAAGCAGACGGCTTGACGCAAAAAACCTATAGGTCATACTGCAGTCTCAAGGCAGTGCGCCAGACGCGGTTCGAATGTGGCGATCGAGGGGGCCTTCCTTACACTTTCTTTGCTGCAAATTCCGCTTGGGATGCTGCAAAACAGCTCAATCTTGAAGCAGTGCTGATCACTGATCCCTTCCTTCAGCTCCTGGACCGCCTGTACCAGTACGATGAGGACATTGAGTTGCCATCCCGCTAAGAGGAGTTCTTCCGACACTTCAGCCGGCAGAAGGTCGAGGAGTTGCGGGCCTACATAATCAGGCACGCTACGCTGTGCAAGAAAATGAAGGAGGTTGGAGTGGACGTTCTTGATCTACTTGCAGGGTGGCATCTTCTCAGCAGATCTGGTGCGCCGAGGCGGACCCATATCCAGCTGAAGAGTTTGTGCCAGGGTTCGCTCAACTACCAAAAAGTATCGCAGGCCCTTCTCAAGATGTTTGGCGGCGATCACAAGCCAAACATTCGAGATTTGCTCAAGGTCGGCACCTCGCAGGGCGAGAACAGCTATTTGACGGAAGAGGGTGACGAGGCCTACTTCTACGAAGACACTGACTTCCATGGCGAGGACGATTGGAACTACGACGAGGACGTGTACCAGTCCGAGAGCAACTACATGAACCACCAGAGGAGGATCAACAGCTACCAGCTTCTCGACAACCACGCAGAGAACGCTCAAGTGGTTCACCAAGGGCAACTACGTCGGTCAAGGATCCCAGCGCTGAGCAAGTCCTGGCAGGGATAATCCGTGCCCGTGCTCGGGCTCTCGACGGGCTTCCCCCTTTGACAAAGGCTCTCGAAAGCATGCCAGACAACAAGTGGACCGGTGACATGGACCTCGACGATGACGCTCTCCTTGTGGCTACCGAGCTCGATGAGAAGCACAGTGCATGGATAAAGACAAGCACCTCAGAAAAAGCAGTACCCATGAGTTTTCTTCTCAAGCACAGGGACAAAGGCGGATCCAAAGTTGCCAATGCCCGCATCATCCTCCAAGGCTTCCGGCACTCCGACGTCACGACAGAGAAGTTGGACACTGAGTCCCCAACATTGTCAAAGGTTGGGCGAAGTCTACTCCTTTTCTTCTGCAGTCAGACGACGTGGAAGGTGTGGTCCGCCGATGTGAAATCGGCTTTCCTTCAGGCCGATCGAATTGATCATGAAGTCCGTATCTTTGCTGTGCCAAATTCTGACATCAGACATCATCAGACGACGTCTTGCTCGACTCATTGGCCTGAGGGACGACGAGATCATGAGGATTTCGAAGCCCGCTTCTGGCGATGTACGAGCGCCTCGACAGTGGTACTCGACAGCAGACCTCGTGGACACGGATGAGATGAAGCTGGCGCGACAACGCTTGGACAAGTGCCTCTACCTCAATGTTCGCAAAGCTGTGGGTGGCGATGAAAAGTTTCGAGTTTTCAATCGGAATGGCGCCGCCTACGTTGTGGACGGCATCTGTGGCATCCACGTCGACGACTTGGTGTCTGGCGGTGAAGGTGTCAACAGCAAGGCCGATGTCGAGCAACAGGGTCCGGAGCATTTTGTCTGCTACAAAGATCGTGCTCAGACGTTGCTACACCGCTTCCCTTTTGGGAGCGTGGACTTCACCCGCAACCAGGCCTTCTGCGACATCCAGCTCGAGCAGGGCATGGCTCACGACTCCGTTGCCATGTCCCTCCATCTGTATGTGCTTGCCTGGGCTGCCACACAATGTTTGCCAGTGTTGTCGGCTTCTGCTTCGCTCTTGCAATCCACAACCACGGCGACTTCTCCGAATTGGTCTTTGGCGTCTACACAGACGCGGCCTGGGCAGTTTGCCCAGATGGGTCTTTGCAAGATAGAATGGTCATCTTTGTTGCGAGCAGGCAGGAAGTGGAGTCGGGCAAGCCTTTTCCTCTGACTGTGCTGGACTGGTCGTCAAAGAAATTGACGAGGGTCTGCCGATCTTCCTTTTCGGCAGAGACGCAAGCTGCAGCCAACGCCGTCGATGAGTTGGACCGGGCTCGCACAGTTTGGCATCTCATGGTGTGGCTGTTCAAGGACCTCAGCAAGGTCACCGACAACAACTCCACGGGCGCCAGCGCCATCACGAATGCGAGGTCCTTGTATGATGCCGCGAACTCCATGAGCGCAGGCCTCAAGCTCACGAAGCGAAGATGCGCCATCGAACTCACCATGTCTACCGAGCGCTTGAAAGCAATGGGCAGCTGAGACTTTCTAAGCAGCTGTCATGTTGACGTCGAACTTGAGTGCCACCATGCAACTCTTGAAGTTTTCACGCGCCATGGCTCTCGCCTGCAGCTTGGTGAGCCCGTCCGCGAGCTGCTGCGCGCTGTTGCGCCATGATCCACCGATCGCCAAGCCGAAGTGGACGAGCTCAACGATGCGGCTCGTGCTCACAACGATGTTTTTTGTTTGCGATGACCTTCCCAGGCGCCAGCTTCAAGGATGCGACAGAGTTGTTCTAGGCCACTCACTTGGACAATACTGTTCGAAGAGACATTTCTACAGCAGTTTTGCTCCACAAGATGCTCTTCGTCAAAGGGCTGTGATTGCTGCAGCAGTCCTGGCTTCTCAGGTGACCGAATCTGAAGCCTCGACACAGGCCACCGTTGCCGGGTACGACTTTCAGTACGAGAACTCCGTGATCACGCTGCCCCCAGCGCAGCTGATGATCGACTTGAACCAGGTGCTGTGGTTTATGCTGATTACCTTCCTCTGCTTCCTGTTCTTCATCAGGGTGATCCTTCCGAAGTTCTTTGTCTCCGAGGACGAATTTCATGAAGTGACGGAGGTGACCCTGGCCGATGCAGAGGTGCCATCCAACGACATGGTGAACCCCGAGGCCGAACGACTGCGTGAACACCTGATTCGCCGCAACGAGGAGGCCATGTACTTGCGAGCAGAAGGCATCCGTCACGAACGCCTGGCGAACAACTACGAGGACCAGCTCGAAGACCCAGAATTGCAAGTCTCTAGCTTCGAGCTCGAATCCGTGAGTTGGAAGGGCGTCTGCAGGCACCGCCTCCTGCACCACCGGCTCCTGCGCGACTGCCAAAAGAGCTGCGCATGGGCACCGGACCGCTACCACCTGAACCGCAGCTGTGACCACATCCAAGGGCATAGCACTCTTCGAAGGCCGAATCCCTAAGGCGACTGCAGCCGTGGATGATCCTCTACGCAATGATCCAGCATCTCGTCCGCTACCAGTGGAGTGAGATCAAGTGACGTAATTTCTCAAGGTCACCGTGATGTTCATGTTTTCCAACGATCCATTTTCGTACCCTTTCATTTTATAATCTTATTGCTTTTCCCTCCTGTGTCAGCGCATGCTATTGCAACTGCGTGTAAGTACACATGTGAGTTGCGCATACATTTTCTGAGAATCTTCCATGTATGCAGGGGGCCCCGCTGTGTTGCTCATCAAGGGGCCCCTTGAGCGCGCGAGGCCCGACATCGAATGGTCGGTGGAGAAAAGACATCAACGAGCGCTACTTGCACTCCGCATGTCGAGAAGGCATTGGACTTAGAGGGCTAGTGCCTGGGGTTTGTGTTACCCAACACATCTCATAGTAGCAGGTGGGTTGGCCCAGGCATCTTTGGTCGGGCAGTGGCGCTGGTAGCTGTTGGGGCAGACTAAGTGCCAGCGCTGGTGACGTGGGTAATGGTGTTTCTGCGTCTACTTCTACTTCTGCGGCTGGTGTTACTGTTACTCCACTCCTGCTCCATCCTCCTCTTGGTCTTCCTACTACGCTTACCTTTCCTCCTATACTGGTACCTGTGCTGCTGCCTCATTACCGCTTCTCGTATTACCTTCAGTAGCAGACTCATCGCACCGTTGTTGTAGCTAGCATTCTTCTACTTCTGCCACGTGTTCTTCCCTATCGTTTTTTGTTAATGAGTCAAGGCACGGTAGCAACAGGCAATAAAAATCATTACATCATGTATCTCTACGACAGTTGCTGTGGCAACTGAGACACACAATTCGGGCACCTGTGTCCGGGTCGCGCATGACCTTTGCGAAGAGCAAAACCTGGCATTTCGGTGATCTCCCTATGGCAGTTGTCATGGTTATAAGAGAAACGGCAGTGTTCCTGCTGAAAGCATCACATGTGGCGTCAGCTCAAACACGATTCTTGCGCCTGCTAGCCCTGCTAGGCTCATGGTATCTCGGGCCACATGCAAAAGAATTCCAGGAAACCCCCACATTAGAAGCGTCCATGTCTTCACCTACATGATTGTTAGAGAGCCATATGCGCGCATGTTTGCTGCGATCTTCTTTATAATCTGGTCATTGTTTCTGCATTTCTTGGAAGCAATCTTGACGGAAGCAGCATCCCCATTTGCAAGGCGATACTTGGAGGCCGGGCTCCGAAGGCGGAGAAGGTGTCGTAAAGCATCCTCGGCCGGGCACGATGTCAACTCTATGTCTCTGTATGATGGAATCCATGCTTCCAAAATCATGATGGAGGTTGAGACGACACAATGGGAAGAGGTGATGATGGCAACAATCCCCAAATCATTCTCCGTGTTTGGTTGACACCATCCTCCCATCAATTCGGAGTCAACGAAAGAGATACTTTCAAAGTCGCATCAAAGTAGTGTCGATGCTGGCCCATGGTGCTGCCATTTGTGACCATCCACAATATCACGATTGATACTCAAAAACGTGTGCTACCAGTGTGGCAATAGCCAAAGCATCATAACACAGCATGCTCTTGAATCCCAAGAGGCTTCTCATCAACCTGCCAACACAGTTGCAACAACAGACAAGGCTCCATCATACTGCTTTGACAGAAAGAATTGCAGTGCTTTGGAAGCTTAGGAGCCCATCACTTACCTCAGAGATTGGCGGGCTCACATAAGCTGCAGACAAAGCATGATGACGAGTCGGGTTAAGGGCCAACCGAATCAGACAAGCTTTGCCGTCAGGGCGCATACGCAAGCTGTACGTGCGCTCTAGCATCGACAGGTTCATCATCAGGCGCACACAGTTGGACAAGCGATGTAAGTGCTCAACATGCTGCTTAGCACCATCAGCAAAGACAGTCCCAGAAAAGCGTGGAGGCATTCAGGTCACAAGAAAGAAGGGCTTGTGCAGGTGCACTTTGGCGTATGTAGAGAAGCTTAATGGGAACCTCGTCAGGATGATCAACTGCGGCAGCCCGACCCCTAGAAAACAAAACCAAACCTTTACTCCAAGCTTGCTTTTCACTTTCAGCAGTACCAACAAACAGTTGGCCCAGTGCCCGTGCTCCTACAGCTCAGGACATTGTGCCTCAGGCTCTAGATTGCCGATGAAGAGGTTCGCACCAACCTGGCGAAAAGACTCATATGAGGAAGAACATGTCATACTCCCGCATGCCAAGAAGCGCACGAGTGCGGATAGCAACATTGAGTTACGACCCTCATTCACAATCAGACTGCCAATACACTTCTTGGCACTGAAGGATTTCGGCTATGCAGCTCAGTTTCACAATAAAGCACGGAGACAAACTGTAAAGCTGGCGCAGCATAGGCAATGGCAACAAACAACTACACTCGACTTGAACACGAAGATCTCACAACCACAACCATGAACTGCAGCTGTCTTTTGGAGGGCCCACTCATCGGCTAAGGGCGGCAGTCCATGTTGGTACAGCCATTGCAAATGTGCAGATGTGGGAGCATCACTCATGTGCCTCATTGGTCTTTTTGTCTTGGGAGGACTTGTTGCATCGAATAGGCTTGCCGAAAAGCCTGCAAGGCACGCTGCACGGAACAAGGAGGATCGCCTAGAGTTGGGTATTCCAGTGCCACTTGACTTTCTCAAAACTCAAGATGGCTTCGCTGGGCTCTCTACTCAAATGAATTCCGACAAGTAGCCTTTCTGAGAAATTGCAACAGAGCCCCAGCAGCAGCCAAAAGGTAATTTACATGAAACGACTAGTGGCTACTGTAACTAATGCTTACATAGTTGATTTTTACACCTGAGAGCAGGTTCGAAACTCTCTGCCAGACTGATTTGTAAACAGACCTGCGACATGGCCCTATGTATGTGGAGGACGACTGTCGACCCACCCAGTGGGACTCATGAGAAATTGAGAAGTTTGAAGTGACAATGTAAGATATGTACATGTGAGTATACATGAACGCAGAACTAGAAGTTGCTTTCCGAAGATTGAGGTGGGTGTGGCGAGGGTAAACCCTGTGGATCTCTTCAGCGGCCCCATGCAATGAAGACTATGTCCGTTGCTCTGCGAGTCCCAGTCTTGCTTCACCAGGCTTCAGGATCATCATGACTCCTTGCTGTGGAAAGCAAGAATGCTGCAGGTAAGAGCTGCCGCCTGATCATGTTCATGATCTTAATCGCATAGTCTGCATCCTCTTCGTTCTTGAACTCCACGAATCCGTACCTACAACCCCGTTCCCGGGCAGCTACTGAGACAATGCTAAATCTGACAAAGGGCTTGCTGCAAATTGCATGAGCGGAGCAGCCCCACCGTGACTGCACTGTTTTCCACACACTCACCGCGCTTCATTGGAAATCAGAACAGATTCGCCATGAGGATGCAGGCCCTCGCACCTCGGGCAGGCTTGACAACAAGCTTACAGACACCACTGATATGCGCACAGAGCTGTGATCACTTCTCATCCTACCATAAAACGGCCACGGGAGGATGCTTTTGAAATCCAGGACCGTTTCTGCTGCGATAATGAACACATAAACATGTCGGGTGTTTGTGCCTCAGTCCCGTCTTATCAGGCAAGCTCTACCATACCAGACGCTACGTCTTACCGTGCGCGAGGTCTGCCTGACCTTTTGTGCGGGCCGCGAAAAATGGCGTTCACGGTTGGATTCACAAAACCAAGGAACCCTTCAGGTATCAGATGATGTGTTTGGCATGCACCTCCTCAAGGTCGCTCTGAAGATCCTGCACGGGTTGTTTTGCAACGCTCCCATCTCACCCTACAATCAGTATTATCCCTTTCCCATCCCTGAAGCCGCTGCAGCAGCATTGTCAAGCCATGCCTTTCAGGCATCACAGTCTAAGGCAGGATCTACATCGAAACACCCTACAATATACACTTACCCAACATTCCTAGGGAGCCCCAACATACGCCAGCATCACAAAGCCCGAAACTATCCACAAGCCTAGCTCGAAGGCATCCGAGGAGCTGAGAGTCGGTGCCGCCGCGCCAGATTGGGCCATTTCAGGCAGCATAAATCA